GCCATCACGTTCCTCTTGTGTGTATCCCAGGGCAAGTGACGGATGAGTCCTGAGTGTGTGAGGGGACATGATGGTACAGTCCGCCTGGAATGTTGTGAGGAGCAAATGAGAGGGTGTGCACCCGGTGCCCGGGACCAGCCTGGCATGTTGCCATCTTGGGGTTGTGAGGAGCGAATGAGAGGGTGTGCACCTGGTGCCCGGGAGCAGCCTGGCACGTGACCACCTAGGGGTTGTGAGGAGCGAATGAGAGGGTGTGCACCCGGTGCGCGGGGCAGCCTGGCACGTGGCCATCTCGGGGTTGTGAGGAGCGAATGAGAGGGTGTGCCCCTGGTGCCTGGGACCAGCCTGGCACGGGGTTGTGAGGAGTGAATAAGAGGGTGTGCACCCGGTGCCCAGGACCAGCCTGGCACGTTGTCATCTTGGGCACTAGGACTGCATGCAGCAGCTGCTCCTTTGCCCACTCCCAATGTTAGAGGGATCTGTTTCCAGCCAGCAGGGCAGTCTGGGTGACTCCAGGAGGATTCCAGGGTCCTCAGTAGGAGTTTGGTCACCTTGGCTTTCTTCTCCGCAGCTCTGGGCACAGCCAGGGGCCTGTCACTGGCCAGGGGACTTAGGAGACCACACAGACCGCCCACCCAGCCTGGATCTCCCAGCTGCCAGGCCCCCTGCTCTGAAATCTGGGCTTTGGGGGCCTACGGTCTGAGCCAGCCTCGCTCCACACTTGCCTTCGGCGGTACTGGCTGTTCCTGACTCTTTCATGTTCTTCCAGCCTCTCCACATCTGTAGTGTTTCCTTCTCCTCTCCCTGCTGGACTCTGGGATTTATCACCTCTGCTTTCTTCCGTGTGCAATCCCTGCCTGGCCCACCCAAGACTGTGGCTCATCCTGGCCCTCAGGCCTGGCACCACCTGCCCTGAGACCTCCCAGACAGGATACTGGAGGGTTTGTGCTTCCCCATCGCCCCTGCCTGGCTAGAGGCCCCAGGTCCCGTGGGTCCTGCCTCCCTCTGTTGCTTCTGCCCAAGTCGTGGCTGCGGGGGTCATCTCAGCCCTGATTGTCCATGTGGTTCAATTCTCCCCAGAACTGCTGCCCCTAGAAGGCCCCCCCAAACTTTCCTCCAGTTTCTCCAGGACAGCAGGGAGTCGAGAGGTGGGCCGGTCAGTATGCCAGGGCACTCCTGCTGCTAAGCTGTAGTGGTGCCAGCCTAAGGTCCAGCAGGTGCAGCAGGATGGACACTGGGCCCAGACACAATAGCCATGCCTGAGGGCCACGCAGAGTGAGGTAGGGGCAGAAGCAAGTGTCAGCTGGGCCTGGGCCGCCCTCCCCAGGGCCCCCCGCCTGCATGCCCCCACCTCGTGGTGTTGTGTCTAGGCGGGCAGCCTCGTCTTCACCACATCGCGGCAGCAGGAGTGTCTGGTGGGTACAGATTGTGCCTGCTCTTGTCTGCCCGGTTCCCCGCCACTGCTGCCAGGGAATGCGGCTGGAGGAAGGCAAGAGTAGATAGGGTGTGACGGAGGCTGAGGCCACTCCTGCAGGGGGACAGGCACGGCTGCCTGGGCTCTCTCCCAAGGGAGGGCTGCTTTCCAGACCTCGTCCTTCCATAGGTGACCCGAGGTCTCTGCCTGGGTGGGGCCATCGGAGGCTCTGTTGTGTCAACTGTGATGTGATGTTCTCCAGATCCTTGTCGGGCCTGGCTCCAGGGTCTGCGCTCAGGGATGCAGGCTGCAGGGTTGGAGAGCAGGGCCACAAGAGGGCTTGGTGATCCAGGAGGCTTCAGAGGGAAGGACCCTGGCGCTGCATCTGGAGGGGAGGCTGCAGCAGTAGGGCAAGAGGAGTGGGGTGGAGGCAGCAGCGTGTGCAGAGGCCGGGCACTGGGGCTGGGGTTGTTGAGCTGGTGTGCCCAGGAGGTGAGATGAGCGTGGGCGGGAGGGCCTCTGCTGCTGGCTGCAGGGTGGCTGAGTCAAGTAGGGGGCTGGAGTTCTACGACATTGGTGGGGCTCTGTGCCATTCCCTCCTCCCCTCCCAGCCCAGCCGAGGCCTCTCCGATGGGTCTCACAGGCTGCCCCACTCTCCTTGCTCCCATCCCATCTCTAGCCGCAGGTGGGGCCTGTGCCTGGATGATTCTCCTGCCAAGGACATCATCGACTTCCCCTCAGTGCCACCCAGCGTCCTCTATGATGTGAGCCACCAGTGCCGCCTCCAGTACGGGGCCTACTCTGCCTTCTGCGACAACACGGATGTGAGTGGGCTGGGGTGGGTACCAGGGTGTGGGGACCCAGCAGGAGGGCTCAGGGGGCAGCCCTCACCAGCCAGTGGGTGCCAGCCTGGGAGGAACCTCGCTTGGCCTGGGCTGTGCCCCCAAATGATACTGTGACACGTCAGAGGCCTGTGGGAGAGGCCAAGGATGGACAGCCACAGACCCGGCTCTGAATTCTGGGTCAATCACGGATCCACTGTGACAAGTCCCTTAGCCTCCCTGGGGCTGGCTTTTAAGAGGGAAAAGGCCCAGGCGTGGTGGCTCATGCCTGTAATCCCAGCACTTTGGGAGGCTGAGGCAGGTGGATCACGAGGTCAAGAGATCAAGACCATCCTGGCCAACATGGCGAAACCCTGTCTCTACTAAAAATACAAAAAATTAGCTGGACATGGTGGCACATGCCTGTAGTCCCAGCTACTTGGGAGGCTGAGACAGGAGAATGGCTTGAACCCAGGAGGCGGAGATTGCAGTGAGCCGAGAATGCGCTATTGCATTCCAGCCTGGGCAACAAGAACGAAACTCTGTCTCAAATAAAAAAAAAGAGGGGGGGTGGAAAGGAATTCGTGTGGGGAGGGTCTGTTTATCCTGGAGAAGACTGCCTGGAGTGATCTTCTAACGGGGGTGTTTCCAGAGGCGGGTCTGGGCTGGAAGAGGGGTGGGCAGCTGGGGAGTGGTGTGAGCAGCACAGCCCCGGGCCCCCTACACCACCACAGGGTCTGGAGAGGAAGGTGGGAGCAGACACAGAAGGGACCTCTGGGGGTCTGTGGACCCCTGCCATGTAGAAGGGTGTCCAGGGGGCCCTTGGGGACAGGGTGGGGGCAGGGCAGCTGGTGGCACGGAGGTGGGATGGGGTGAGGGTGTGGCTTGTGCCCCCTCCTTGCAGAATGTCTGCCGCACACTTTGGTGCTCTGTCGGGACCACCTGTCACTCCAAGCTGGATGCAGCCGTGGACGGCACCTGGTGTGGGGAGAACAAGGTAGGAGGTGCCCAGTCCCAGCGGTGGGAGGGAGAGGCCAGACCTCCTGCTGTGTCCGGGCCTGGGCGTCAGTCCCAGCTCACAGTTTTGCTGTGCTCCTAGCAGACCCCCACTCTCTGCAGCCCAAGCCCCCGTCTACAAAGTGGAGGCATTGGGCACAGGGCTTGATTCCATGATTCCCTGGGTGTCTTCAGCTGAGTTGGCATGTGGGCTGTTTTACTCCCTGCTCAGCTCCGCCCTGCGGCCTGGGCCACATGTGATGGTGATGATTGGGAGGGGCCTCTCTCACCTTCCATCCTTCCTCTCTGTGCTTTCCGTGGCCTTCTCACCCACCTTGTTCTCACTAGGGTGAGGATGACTGATAGGCTTGGGGGTGGGGGTGGCTCTACTTCCATCTGTCTCAGTAGTGGTGTCTCAATGGGGAGTGGGTACCCGTGGGCTTCCGGCCTGAGGCCGTGGACGGTGGCTGGTCTAGCTGGAGCATCTGGTCCATCTGCTCGTGGAGCTGTGGCATGGGCGTGCAGAGCGCTGAGCGGCAGTGCACGCAGCCTGCTTGAGTGTAGGGCCCAGGGTGCCCTGGGCAATGGGACAGAGGGACCCAAGCAGTCAGCCGATTGCAGGGGCTTGATTCTGTCCCAGCCTCTGGCTCTTAGAAGTGTCCTCATAACGGTCAGTCCGAGTGTCCAGGCCACCTTGAGTCACTTTCAAGGAGGGTTCTGGGGCTGACAGGTCCCCATTGCTGACCCCTTTGCAGAGAGGGGGACACTGAGGCCTAGAGACTAGAGAGACTCATCAGAGGCCACATGGCAAAGCAGCTGCCGGCTAGAGGGAGGACGGAGAGGGCAATGGGGAAGAGCATGGGCCCTGGACCTTAGATGGCTCAGGGTTTGAATCCCCTCTTCACCCCTTCTCTGGGCCTCCGTTTCCCCGTTTAAACAGGGGGATGTGAGAATGTGGTGAGGCGCAGAGCCCAGCAGTACCGTAGACCGAGGCACTGCCCAGCTGATTTCTTCTTCACAAGGCCACCCAGGGAAGGCATGGGGTTCACAGCCAGCCCCACCAAGGGCCCTGTGACCTCCCTGCCTCCAGACCTCCAGGTCTGAACCGGGTTGGGTCCAGCTACCCTGGCCTAGATGGGGAGGGTTTCAGGAGCTGTGACTTGGCAGACCTCTCAGCTGGCTGGGGCCCTGGGGGCTTTTTTTTACACCCGGGCTGGGGGAACTGCCACCAGGAGGGAGGCTGAGGACTCAAGGGTTCATTAGGACGCTGGTGTCGTGGGCTGGGGACTCGGAGCAGTCCCCCCAGTCAGTGCCAGTCATGCCTGCAGCTTGTCACAGCTTCTCAACAGCCCTCTGCAGAGTCAGCCTCAACCCCATTTTACAGATGAGGAAACTGAGGCCCAGGGGTTGGCCAGAGACTTGCCCACAGTCACACAGTAGGTTGGGGAGAGAGCTCAGGCTTCCTGCTGCCACTGCCCCGAAGGTCCTTACAAACAGGGAGGGTGTGTCTGGGTCAGAGCAGGGGCAGCCCATGGAAGGAGAGCATGTGCACAGAGCTGGGTGGCAGGGATCTTGGGGTGCGGGTACAGGAGGCAGCCCCTCACTCCGGGCTGTGGCCACGTAGTAGCACTCACCGGGCCCTCCCTGCATCTCCCCACAGGCCCAAATACAAGGGCAAGTACTGCGTGGGCAAGCGGAAGCGTTTCTGCCTCTGCAACCTACAAGCCTGCCCCTCCTTCCGCCATGTCTAGTGCAGCCAATTTGACGCTATGCTCTACAAGGGCAAGCTGCACACATGGGTGCCTGTGGTCAATGATGGTGGGTGCTGCCTCCCATGGGGACACTGAGGCTCAGAGGGCTGGGGCTGTGTGCGCCCAAGGCTACCCTGTGATGCAGCAGGAGGCTCAGTCTCCACCCCAAGCCTGGGCCGCCCCCTCTGTGCCCTGGGGCTGCTGCTCCTCCCAGCTCCCCAGTCTGCAGCCTTGCAGATAGCTACCAGCCCAGCCAGAGCCTCCAGCCTGCCATGGATGTGTGTTGTGGAGGGGTCTTCCTGGTGGCCTCCGTAACTCCTGCCCCGGCTGTCACTGATGGCTCTTCTACTTGGCCCCCAGTGAACACCTGTGAGCTGCACTGCCGGCCCTCAAATGAGTATTTTGCCAAGAAGCTGTGGGACGCTGTGGTTGATGGCACCCCCTGCTACCAGGGCAGGGTCAGCCAGGACCTCTGCATCAGTGGCATCTGCAAGGTGTGCCTGGTCGGGAAGAGGCTCTCCCAGCACCACCCGCCCCCAGCCCCACTGGCAGGCCCCAGGTTGTCCCCTGGGTCCCTCCTGGTCCTCTGGCCACCCTCCCCATGCTCTGCCATTGGGCTTCCCAGACCCCACCCTCTATACCACTAAGGCAAAGCCCATACCAGGCCTCCTGGCACTGGAGACCCCTGCCAGTCAGGGCTCGCTGCCCCTCGTCTCCTTGGATACTGTGCCAGCACTGCCCCAGCCGGGACACCGGAACCCAGGCAGGGGCTTGATCTCTTGCCAGCTGGCTGACCCCAGGCAGTGGTTTCCTCCCTGATAGAAGGGGTCAAATGAGGTGGCACAGGTGACATGAAGGGCTCTAGCCCCGAAGGCGTCTCGTCTTTGCCCATCTCCCCAGCCACCTACCTGCCCCTGCTTCTAGCCCCCTAAGCCATTGGGGTGTCCGACCTGGGCTCAGAGGGGGACCAGCAGGGAGGGGCCCACCCCCAGCACCTCTGATGTTCAGATTCCCTGCACGTGCTGGTCAGGAGCCCATGGTGAATCAGGTCCCTGCCTGCCCGCAGCCTTTGCAGAACTCTCTTCTCTTGTCACATGTGATGCTCGAGACATACCTTTAAGGGAGGGGCGGGTCTCCCCCTCTCACATCTGAGGACACTGAGGTTCAGGGACGTAGAGAAGTTCACCTGGGTCAGAGGCACAGCTGGGGTGGGGCAGGGCCAGAGAGAGGCATCCCGACCCCCACTCCAGCTGTCTCCTCCTGACCCTGGCTGGCCCCCAGGGCTAGGGCCACAGAGGGCTGACTGCCAGTACCACGGGCCTCCCCTCCCTTGTGTGTTGCACAATGTGGGCTGTGACTTCGAGATTAACTCCGGTGCCATGGAGGACCGCTGTGGCGTGTGCCACAGCAATGGCTCCACCTGCCACACCGTGAGCGAGACCTTCGTGGAGGCCGAGGGCCTGGGTATGGGGTGGGACCACTGTGGGGGACAGGTTTGCTCTTTACCTGGTGGCCACTTCCCCATCTGCCCCGGGTCCCCCCATTGGCCTAGTGGTCCCCACCCAGCCATAGATGGCTAAGCAGGGAAGCCTTGCTGTGGTGGAATTCATGTAGGAGTCAGGGGCCCCTAACCCAAGTGCAGAGACCAGTCCCCGTGGGGAGACCTCTTGTCCCAGAGACCCCAGGCAGGTCCAGCTCAGCTTGTGTGCAGCCCCTGGGCCTCTAGGAGGATGGTGGTCTTCTCCTCCTCCGAAGCTTCTGTGATCCTCAGTTCCACGCCCTCACCTTGGGTCTGCTTTGCACACGTTGTTCAAGTGCTGACTGTGCTAGGTCATGGGGACATGCAGGTGAATCGTTCAGTCCCTCAGGGGATAGAATCTTCTGTGTGGCCAATGCAGTGCAGGTAGGCCCGGAGGACTTTGGGTGCACCGAGGAAGACACTCCTGGCCTGGGGAAGTCAGGGAAGGTTTCCTGAGGAAAACCCCGTTGTCCTCAGATCCCAGCAGGATGCTCATTCATGTTGCTATCTCTGCCTGCCTCACTTTCCTCATCTGTGAAATGGGGACAACAATGGTACCTACATCCTAGGGTTGTTATTCATTTTACACGTGAGCAGTGCCCGGTGCGTGATGGGTGTTACAGAAGCAGGTAAATAAAAGAAGCCATGTGGGCTGAGGAGGGTGACCCGGGAGAAAGGCCTGAGCACGCTGGCATTTTAGAAAGAGAATGCCAGCTGGCCCTGAGTGTTGGGTAGACCCAGCCTTGTGATGAGACCAGTTTAGGTCCCCAAGAGAGGGGTGATGGGGTATGGACACGGGGTCAGGATTTGGGGTGCCTCTGTGAGGTTTTGGTGACCTATGACATATCTGAGCAATTGGGAGAGCTTAGACTTTTAAGGTAACGGTGGAACCTTTGGCATCACCAGGCGCGTTGCAAGTGGGGAGAGAGGTGAGGGCAGCGGGTGGGGATAGGCAACCCTGTCACCCCAAGCACAACCTGTACACAATCTGTGGCCGGCAGGGTATGTGGACGTGGGTCTGATCCCAGCTGGCGCACGTGAGAGCCGCATCCAGGAGGTGGCGGAGGCTGCTAACTTCCTGGCACTGCAGAGCGAGGACCCAAAGAAGTACTTCCTCAACGGCGGCTGGACCATCCAGTGGTACAGGGACTACCAGGTGGCAGGGACCACCTTCGCATACGCATGCAGGGGCAACTGGGAGAACCTCGCGTCCCCGGGTCCCACCAACGAGCCTGTCTGGATTCAGGTGCCTGCTTCCCAAGGCCCAGGAGAGGGGAGCAGAGGTGGAGACCCCAGGCCCATGGCAGGGTCTCATCCTGGAGGAGTGAGCCCTGGGGCAGTCACAGAGCCTGGCTCTCAACCAGGCCCACCTGCTGCAACCTCTGCCTCAGTTTCTCCATCTTTAAAATGGCCCCGTGATGTAGCTGCAGTTCAGAGGTGGCTGGGGTCAGCTCCTCTAGGGCTGGGTGGATGGAGAGGATGCCTCATGCTCACGGGGCCGTCTGCTCGCCCAGTTGCTGTTCCAGGACAGCAACCCCGGGGTGCGCTATGAGTACACCGTCCACAGGGAGGCAGATGGCCATGGCGAGATCCCGCCACCCGAGTTCTGGCACTACGGACCCTGGACCAAGTGCACGGTCACCTGCGGCACAGGTGAGAAGAGGGACAGGCACAGCCCTTCCAGCAGGGGCTTTGGCTCTGGACAGGGACGCTGGCTTCAGCCTCCAGCTCACTGCTGGGCCACCACGGGTCTTGAGGTTTGCTTCTCTGAGCTTCAGCTCCCCATCTGTGAAATGAGGCTGGTAATTGCCCCATGTCCCATGCCCACTGTGTGGTAAATAGATGAGGCAGGTGGAGACAGCTTGCGGCAAGTGCTCAGCGTGCCCCAGCCCTTGGCGTTCTCCATCCAGGGGCACAGGTCCCTCTCAATTTTGTCCTGGCTCAGCTCCGGCAGGTCTCGTGCCTGCATTTCTGCTGTGTCCTGGAGACGACCTTCCCACCCTCACAGAGCTTTAGCTGTGGGCTTGAAGGGGCACTGCTCCCCTTCTCCAGCCCCTCCAGTGGTCCAGACCCTGGGGCTCCCTGATGGCCATCCCATGAGGGGCTTCCCAGACAGGAGGGGGAACAGGGGAAGGGGGCAGTGAGGAGAGGGAGGCCAGGGCACAGCCAGGTTTCCCACCCCACTCTGAGGCCAGCCTAGTGGCCCCTCACCACGCCGACTTATTTCTTTAAATTATATAAAAAGTATGATGTTTTCATTAACTCCGACTCTTCCTCCCCATATTTCCCTTCGTGCCCCGCATGCCCCTTGGTCTCCCTGCCTTTCAGAATCTCCCAACTCAGGTCTCCTACCCTGGCCCTTGGTCTTCCCCCCCATGCCCCTCAGTTTCTCCC